CCAAACGCAACTTCTCTGGAGTAGCTACCTCCAAGTTGCCATCCTCCTGAAAGAGAGCGAGTTATGTGCAATAATGAAAACGATGTTGACCAAAACAAAAAACATTACAGAAAAAACCTTATACGGTCAATCCTAAACGTATGAAAACAAGTTCAATGTGGTAAAATTTGGTGACTCAAAAAATCGCGCTTACCAGAGCACGTTGATCGGGTCTTAACCTTGAATCAGTGGGCGGAAGTGCATCGGACAACTTTTGATTCAACTCTGAAATCCAAGAAGGAATAAATATATTAAAGACTACCATTCAAAAATCCTCCCAGTCATGTGGTGCGAAATAAGTGAAGCATGGTTGAATCACATTGCAAAATAATGACTTGTAAACTAAAAAGTGGCCAAAACAAAGTACAAAATTTTAAGCGGGGTTACGGAAGAGGTTAAAATTTATATACAAATTGTTTACTAAAGACTCATCGTCAACGCAATACACATTGAACTTAACCCACCATTCAGAGCTAGCGCGTATCGAGTAAAACAGTATTGCTGACGATAATCTTCAATTTGCTCAGGTGCTTTCCAAAGTAGTCTCACGTCCGGACCATTGACATCGAAGTTGGTGCATGTCTCTGGACATGAATAAATAGCTTCCATGTAATTACCGAAAATTGTATAGTGAGCAGCCCCTTTTGCGTCATAGATCTGCCAACACACAACCGTAAACATTAGAAACTCCATCAATGATAAACTTCGGACGAACAGACCTAGCTGCTGATATCACTTTTGAGATAATGAACACACTTGAAACCGGAAGGAAGCGAACAAAGCTAGGAAGTCAATACGAGAATTACATCACGTCAATGAGATAGAATTAACAAGCTTTTCGACAGGTGAAGTGAACAACCTTCCCAGAGATGCGGCATTGTTCTCTGCTGGTCGCTTTGTGAAAGCGAACACGACCGACTTCACCCGTGGTGTGGTTCACCACAGATACCTCCCCATAATTGTCGATCCAAGCTTTACCAACCACAACATTGTGAATGCAAAGCGTTGCTCGGTTCCATACAATATGGTCGCCATACTTAGGGATTTTTAAATGGACCCCTCCATTGCACAGTACCTGCCGAAAAGTATTCCACTTCAGTGCTCCAGCGTCATACAACACATTCCGAGGTGATAGCACATTAGAAGATGATTGATAGACGAACCTCTATACTTTTCCCCCAAAATTTGTTTTTGATCTCGATCTCGCCACAAATTTGGTATGTCTCGCTTTTGCTTTCACTTTGGAATGCTAATATGGGTGGGTGATGACTCACCTGCGGAAGTAAAATCAATGATAAAGTCAAATGCATTCCCAAGATAGTGAATATAAGCTTTTTGTGAACAATGAATCTGATAACCGTGATGCAGCACCTACCAACCAAGGCGAATATTGATTAATAGATAAATTGAGATCATTAATTTTTTCAGGTTCACGATGGACCAAAAATTGTTGCACAGAATCATGAAAATATGTGATTTTTTATCAAAAAATACATTTCTGTGCACCGTTCGCAATATCAAGTTTCCAAACGCAATCGCACCTGCTCAGCCAGAAACCAACAGTGGTTGTCCTGATACTCATAAGTTTCCCCCAATAGTGGATTGAAAGGTTTTGCATCACGATGGATGCTACCATAATAGCTTGCACAAGTGAATGCTGTTGCCAAAAGTAGACGCTCTAAAGAGTCTGTCTTCCGAACTGCCTGCTCCAATAAGTCCCTACAGAGATAATATTGAAACAAAAACAATTGTACCATCAGTACAGTAAGACAATAACTAATAAAATCAAAACAAACTTCTAGCTACAGATCTTTTTAGCATTACAAGATAAAATAACACGCAACACTGTGACTTCTGAGAAGTCTAACATCAAAATGAATACAATTGCGTTCACGGAAGACTAAACGTAGACCAAGCGAAAGTGTTTACCGATATTGCAATTCTTCAGCACACTTTTGAAGCACTGAGAGAGGCTCGTTGATGGTAGCAGGCATAGTGATGTGGTTGAGATCCCTGCCAACCGCGTTCTTCAATACTGTCCAAACAGTAAACCCTCGTGAGAGAGGTCTAGGAGCTGGTAATCTGCAAGCAGTTGTTAGAAAAACAGTGAGACAATGCTAGCAGGAGAGCTTATAAATGTAAAAAGATGTCCTGAATGAGATTATGAAGCAGATCCAGGTGAGCTCCACGTTGAATCATAAGATAACGTGAATCTCACCTCCTTCTTGGCTGATCAACCCCTTCTCCTTCAGCTTCTGACAGAAAATCAGCATCCCCTATATCAGCCTCTTCAGGGGGTTCTTGATCAACATCCATTGTTTCAGCTAGGTTTTCTTGCTCTTCAGATGACATTGACCGAGAAGCAAATTCATGATGATTCAAGACCTCCAAGGCTTCAAAGTATTCCTGTCATATTAACAAAGCATCCCTGAAATTTGATGGTTGAAAAAATTGCCTTAAATATACATAACGGACCTTCCTAGTATATGTGAATCCATTATGAAGTAGGTAACTATCGATTCTACATATTGATTCTCACATGGGAATAATTGAACAGAAACGGCTCGCAGGACTACAATGTAAACGTGTAAAATTAATTAAATGTGTTACAACAGACGCTGACAAGGCACGTCGGTGAAATATCTAGCCCTTGAAATTATGATTGAAAGGGGAGCCAGCCATGAGAACTCTGGGATCAACTGTAAGGATAGGACATAAATTTAACATAAAAGTCGAGCAAGGATTGCATTGTCCAGTTCCTTCCGGTTCATACCTCATTTCCAACATCAGGATGCACTATTGCAATATCATCTTCAGTGTCCTCTCCATCTTCCGTGACTGACTCCTCAGAAGTATTTTTGTGTTCACATTCGCACTGTTTCTCTTCCTGCATGAGCATTCCAATTACAAGAGGTAAGATTACCGGAGTATGTTCCAACACACCTCTATGTACACAACTTCAAGAGAGACTTAAAATCGATTTTCTGACAAAGATTGCCAAGCTACTGTCCATTCGCATCTGAATAATCATCTGACTGAAGGATGTTGCTGAAACAATTTTCGAAAATGCAACAAGAAATTTAACCCCCGAAGCCTTATAGCATTATTTTCACCTATACAATACAACACAATGCGGTAGAAAGCACCAACATTTTTTACATTTACCTTGCATCTTTCTCTCATGCTCGAATGAGCTGCTCTATCATGATGAAGTTGGCGCAAGGATCTCAATGCTTGTTGTAAGACAGCATTATCTGCTTCAAGTTCAAGCACTCGGCATATCTCTTCTTTCAAGGCCTGCGACCACCAGAAACGTTCCAATGACCATGCCGTGTCACTACGTCATTATCAAAGAAAATAATCATGAAGGACTCGAAACATTCAAGCAAAGATGGATTTCACAATAAGTCGAGAATAAGTATAAGACGTACTTCAGACAGTGGATATCAAGGAGCTAAACTACGTGGCCAAAGTCTTCCACCATAGTCTCGTGAATGAACGTCAGAATTTGAGAAGTATTGTGATTAAAAACATCCTCAGTGTAAAACAAGTAAAATTTTCCATAAGCATAGTCATACACGCAGATGTCATCCCCAAATGAAATAACGTTCATTTTTTATTCTATTTTTTGAAAATTTAACAAATGCGGATCATTCCTGAATAGCATTAAGCATATGTGGGCTGTTTCCCACGCACCTACATTTAGCATGCGATCGCAACGACATAGGCTTACAAAGATATGCAATATTTTACCTCATTGTACGTATCCTGCATGTTGTTCCAAGCGGCATGAAGAGGTCCTTGACTGAATAACCCATTCCTTCCAGGACCGGTCGATGCTTCTTTATCAAACGCTTTCAGTTGCCCTACCCCGAACTTGTCTTCCTTACTTCCGTGGCTTGAGGCCCCACCTGTTCTAGAAGTTGACCCATGAGATGACCCATCAGTTTCCTTCCTTTGTACCATGACGTCTCTATCCAACTTCTTCATTAGACTTGGATCAGATTCCTCGCTGGAAGTTGATGCAATACCGTGAGCAGAGTCCCCATTCCTTTTCCGGTGATGCAAAGGACCACTAAAACTAATAGGCTGTTTCTTAGACCCTGATTCAGGGTCGGATGAATTACCATGAACGCTACGTTTTCTTCCTGAGAAGCACTCAGCTCCGATGCAACTAACATCCTTAGAAAAAAATTCAGGATCATGATCATCCAGCGACACAGATAAGCTTCTCCGCCTTCCCCTTTCAAATTTCTTTTCAACTCGTGAATTAAAGATGGGCACTGAATTTTGAGACCTGCACAAAAAAAAAAAAAAAAAAAAAAAAAAAAATCCCCACTTTTTAGCAGCTAGTACTGAAGGAGAACCCAACCTTGAGATAAATTGGAGGACCTCATCCACTCACCGTCCGAAAATTATAATTACTGCACTGCACACTTAAACGCAAACAACCTATATCTCTCCTGGCCCTTGCTAAATTGTGCGAATCCCTGCGTATTCCATAAAGTTTTGAAGCAGCAGAGTTTCTTCCTGTACTTAAATCAACTTTAAAAATCAACTCAAAAAGAAGTATTATTATTATTATTATTATTATTATTAGACATAGCACTGTTTTCATGTACCAAAAATACAGAATCAGCTTGGGCAAGACAGGTAACCACCTGATACCGCTTATATCTTGAGTTGGCTCCTTGGGCAGAAAAGCCTCCGCGTCGCTTTTCATCTTTAAGAGAGAACGAGAACCATTTATGTTCTCATGGTCATTTTCATGTACCCGAAGCATCCAAGGCGACATAGGTCCAGAATAATTCTGAAAAGGTTTCGTCGCTCCCATCCCTGGAGAAGATAGTTTGTCATCTCCTGTTGCTGGAGTAACAGTCTGCTGTTGAACAGCATCCGACTCAGGTGCTTCATCCTCCATCATGAATAGCCCGTTCGACCTCCAGTTTGTTTCTGGAAGTTTAGGTGAAGTGGAGAGCCCGTTTGTCGTTGTAGGATTCACGGGTCCTTCAGAGTGTTCGGCAAAGCCAAGGACGCCCGAGATCGTTGATAATGATTGTTGTAACGTCTGCAACTGATCAAGAAAAGCTGCACATACAGAAACATAGAAAACCAAAGATTTTAAGCCCTACTTGATTAAGGATGGGTATTCGCTGAGCGACAGGTCTTTCACTTACACCTCACTTAACATATGTACCCCCACAAGAAAGACCAAAGATATGCAGAAAATTCTTAAAGAACATCACGTTCTGTTCAAAATCTGAACCTTGTTAAACAGATCCAAAGACTTAAACAAACATGTGAGAATTAGCAATTGAATCGATGAGCAGAGTTAGTAGCGACCAGGTAGTACCCTGCCGTGTGGGCTCCAGATCTTTGAGGCGTTCTCTGACTCTTCTATTGAACTCTCTTTCTTGATCCTCCCAATCCTCTCTCTCATGCTGCGCAAAATCTGAGAAGTTATACTTTATGCAACGAAGAACCAATTAAATCTATCGATAAAATTCAGCTTCTAACGGATGATCTGAATTAGTCAAAATATAGGTTGTAAGATGCTGCTCGCTTCAAGAGAATGAAAATAACATATAACCTCTCAACCATGCGAGTTACACATCATCTTCAGACGGAAAATAGAAGTTAGGGAGCTTGCGTACTTTAAAATGTACTTTAAACAACAGCCATGTTCCTACAAATGTGAGCGTTGTTTATGGATTTACCGAGGGTACAGATGGTTGAGGAAGTAATGCAATCCCGGCATCCCGTCCAGCCCTCTGAACTGAGTCATGATACACCCGAATTGATTCATGAATGGCATCCAACCATGGCTGCCGATAGTCACGACTGATCGTACGCAGATAATACACATCAGAACCCTTCATAATCTTGAACTGCCGTTCCTTGCCTGAGGTAGGAACCACCGTGGCTCCCTGTTCATATTCAGGGAAAAGCAGATCAAGTCAGTGGTGGTCTGAAAGAAGAGAGACTCGCATAATTTGCATAAGTTGCCAGTAAGGTTAGAAGTTCTACACAAAGTCAATTTCACTGTTGATTCAATAGGTGCTACAAGAAAGGATTACACGTACAAGGAGGCTGATGCATCCATGACGACCAACTGTTTCTGAATTCTTGTAGTGAAGAAGCAGTCCTGGAGGATTTGCAACAAACCAACGCCGCTGCCAACGCTTAAACCTTCCAGTCCAAATAAGGACCCATCCTGCAGGAGGTTGCCCACCTCGGTCTGAACCACTGTGTGTTTTTTTCTGCCAACTCCGTGGGTCATATATTTTCCTACATTGACCACAGAAAAAATGAAAAGAAGATCACGAAGAGTACATGGTGCCAACAAGAGCATTACCATTAGATGTGGATTCAGCGTCTTAAATACCTCAAATCTTGTCAAATTCGAAGAACCCCATTCTCGAGGGACGGAAAAACCTTAAGTATTATTTAGGTTGATAAGAATAATTACCAAATGGACATACAATTACAATCACAACAAAACTCAGGCAGAGCTCCTGCGAAGAGATTGCACGAGAACGAATGCCCAGGCTTCACTCCAGGCCAAGTCGAGCACAAACTAAGCTATCAAAGCCTTCTTAAATAAACCGGTGCACACGACGCAACCGAGCGAATTCTCGAGGGCCGTAGCATATGGAAGATCTACGAATCGGAAGAAGGATTCTGCCCGAGACAACCGAGTCTTTGTGCATTCTGTCAATGTTTCTTCTCCACGTGTCAAATACAACACGTATCTATTGCTACAATGCCTCAAGTACAAGTGAAGCGTCTTAATGGCACTTCATTGCATGTAATAACATGATACGGAAAAGATTTTAATCTCACCTGTTGCCTTGCGCTAACTCCTTTGACATGGAAGATCGACGACGACGTTGGCGCTGCTGATGAGGGACAAACGCTGCTGACGTTGAGCGATGAGGGGCAATCGCTTCCATCGCAAGTTGCAAGCTTCAACTACGTCGCAGGCAAATGGGAACCGATTTCTAAGACCCCGAAAAATAAATGTGGGGAGTTCAAAATGATACGAAGGTCACACGGTCCGGAAACCTTCACTTTAAAATAGTTAAGCAGGTAACTGGAGGTTACTCTCTACGCCTCAATTACCAATAAGAATGTTTTCAAAACATCAAGAGGTTCCAACAATTAGGCCTGCAATAGAGTTCAGATCCCAGTGAAACTTTAACGAAAACCTCCAGCGTCAAAAGGAGACTGTGTACCGGCTATTTTCCAGTCTTGCATCATAAAACTTTACAAGTCATGAAAAACACCTCTGACGAGCACTAGTCATTTCCGAGCTGGAGCACAATCTCACTTCCAAGGTCCCGAACATGAACAAGCTCAATCCAAAATATAAAATATAAAAATTAGCATGAATTCAACGCGAACAGCCACAGAGCTAAGGCACCACGCAGCAACAGAAGCTGTGCGTATCGCTTAAATACCGACAAATTCCAACGTCACCCTTAACAGCTCCCCCTGCGTTCACAAGAAACGCATCGGCTGCCCATCAATAATCAAACATAGCCGAAATTCGCTTCGATTCTACCTGAGGATCTCAATGCACACTCCCAGTAAAACAATCACATGATCGCATCTCCCCTAGGCAGGTCGACTTCCTCCTTGATCAGCTCCCCCCAGCTCAACAACTGTCTAGCGGTGGAAACAGAACATGATCTCTCAATGCAAAACACTTCGTACACTTCCTTTCCTACCACCTCTCCTCCCCAATTATCGAGCTACAGGCCACGAGCTCGACACAACCACGCGTACAGACATCAAGTCGGCAAACCGACTGAACCAATCCGATATCCAACGCAATCGCTCCAGGTTCGCATTCCGACTCCCTATTCCTCATCATACCACCTTCTAAACACAATTGACAACCCAAACCATAAACGACCTAGATGATACCTCTATAATTTCCCTTTTCTCATCAATACAAAACAAGCGCCAACGCTCCCAACCCACACCGCCGTGCTTCAAACTCGCTGGAACTTGGTCAAAATCCCATTCCCTGCGCCGCAGCATTGAAGAAAAACGCACACGGCGACCCCTGAGGCCCCTTCGCAGAAAGACAAGAGCAGCGAGCTCGATACAAGGCCAAACGAGGCCAGATCTGTCTCTAAGGAAACACGTTCTGCACCTGCATGGGCGCAACTCCACATGGAATGGGACTGGAATGGAATGGAAGCTCGGAGGAACAAGCGATGGCACCCTTCCCGTTCGCTTCCCTTGACGATCGTCGCCGCAGCGGTGCTTTCTGCTTTTTTTTTAGCACCTCGTGGCCCATGGCCTGCTTGCTTGATTGCGCCGTTCACCCCCCCTTCCATCGCCGTCGCCGACCTCCTTTCCGACGGCGCTGTTCACACTCCTCGCGCGCCTTCATCTAACGGCTCGGGGCGTTGGAACGCGGTCACCTTCAGTTCCCCATGGGGAATATTCGTGTTCTCGTGTTGATTTTTTTTCTATGGGAACGGGAAATACTGCCCGCAGCTTGTGTTGGTGGACTTTATTGGCCCTCGACCTTCGTTGGCGGACGGGCTTCCATTCACTCATTCATTCATTGATTCATTCATCCTTAATTGAATGAATTTGGACATTGCTGCAGCGCCTAAAAAGTGATGTGACTGGGGAAAGTAAAAGGAAATGGGATTGTAAGGGTGCGGGTGAAGGAGGAGGTGACTTACTTTTGCTTTTTCATTACATTACATTTTTAAATAGCATATAAAACAATATCTCAAAAACAACGTATTAATTTTTTAAAAGATAAAAATATTGTAATTTAAATAGAATATTTTATTATATTTTCATTAACTGGAACTAATAATAATAATTTTGAAAAATTATGGATAATATTTTAAAATGAAAATTTATTTACATCTGTAATGTAAATAGTTTGTATTTCAATAGTTATCTTCAGCAAAACAAGTTATTTTTATTACTATTAATATGTCATGATTTTATTCTAGTAGGTGACAAAAGAATAATTGCAAGATAAAATGCTCAATGAGATTGTCTCACTACAAAGTAACATATAATATTTGATACCACTTCCATTGATAGACCTAGTCAATTGAAGCTTTTAGGATGATTAAAAACTATATATATAGTTAAAAAAACATATACATACTCAAAATTCTTATAATTAAATATGTATAATATTATATATATAAAAATATAAAATCTTAACAATTAACTTTATTGATTGCACCACATTAAATTACCTTAACTTTTGTATTTATTAACAGTGACATTTTAACTTTTTTAAGTAATTAAATTTTAAAATAATATTGCTTTAGTATGTTAATACGCCTTTAAAAACCCCATTTGTTTCTTAATTTCATATCACCAAAACCCCATTTCTTTTCAATACAAAGAGTAATTAAAGTCATAGTTTTTACAAGATACATTGTTTACAATTAAAGACAACCCCATATTCATACAATTGCAACAATTGAAAGTGTGATACAGGGCCTCTTGATTTCCTTTGGAAGTTTGTGTTGAAAAACAGTATTGATTTACAAAAACTTACAGCACAATGATGAATTACAATGCAATCAATGTAGCTAAGAAATACACAAATGCATCTAGTGTATCAAAATCAAAAGGATTTCTTTATGTGTTTATTTATCCATGCTAAGGATTGTTTATGTTCATGCTTCCATGTAGCCATCCATGCATTCATCCATCAAACAATTGTTTAAGAATGGCAAGTGTTCAAATTTCGATAATACATGAATAGATATGTGGCTCTTTGGATGCATGAAAAATACACAAGCACACAACTCTAATTTTAAAATACAACACATTTTAAATTTACAATAAAACAAAAAAAATAACAAAAATTCATGTGAAGATTTGTATAATGCAATAATTATTGTGTTTGTTTTATGTTTATAAATCTTACTTTTATATGAATATATATATATATATATATATATATATGTTTGATAATTATCTTAGCCAAAAGCTGGTATATATATATATATATATATATATAAATTTCATACACTGCAAACTGTACATTACTAAACTATAGATTAAGATCAATGCTTAGATTAAGATTGAAAAAATATATTTTCAGTAAATGTTAAAAAAATTGTAGATGAATAAATGTATTCAAATTTCACAATAATAAAGTAAAATTTCAAATATCACCTTTTTAAAAATCTCATTTATTAAATCCAGTGTTGATAAAATGAATTTCAGTGGAAAACACAATATCATTTAGAAAAGTTTTGATTAATTCTTCAAAATTATTAGTTTTGATAGATTAATTATTAAATAGACAATTATATTTGGCTCATACAAAAACTTTATACAATAAGAAGGACTTTTTAATATGTATTATAAACTTTATTTTTCTACAAAAAAATATAAATATACAAATTTAAAGTGGTACAATTTGTAAAAGTAACTTACAGTGCTTGTAATTAAAGACCGTGCTTTTTCTATTGTAATTATAATTTTTTAAATAAAAATCAAGTGTCCAGTAATTTTTGGGCTACAACAGTGTACTTGTAAAATGTTTTTGAAGGTTTTCAAGTAAGAATAGCTATCTATGTCCTCTCTGCATATGGCTTTTGGATTAGGATTATGTTTAAAATAAATTTTTATTGGAAATTTTATTTTTAACATAATCTTAAAACATTTGTTAAATATTGTACTATTTTCAAAACCCATGAAGCATTAAATTGTACAATCTCATTCTTTAATAAAACTAGAAGTTTAAAAAATTTAAAGTTTATAATTTGTGAGTCAAAGACTTTTTTTTTCTTTTTTTTTTCTTTTTTTTCTTTCTCATGAGACATTTAGAGGAAGACTATTGAATTCACCAAATTATCTAGAAGGCACTATAAATAAGGTAAGCATAACTTGTATAAATCAATGCAAGATTACAACTTTTTTTAGGATGGGAGGAAGTTACTTCTCTAAAAACTAATGGATATTTGTTCATAGAGGCATTCAATTTTTGATAAACACATTGGCTCATTTGAAGTCTTCAACTCTAGAAAGATTGTTTAGTGTCAAAAAAGAGTGTCAACAAAGGCTTAATTTCATTAAAACAATGTTGAACCAAGTCATCTTTTTATAATCTTTAATTTATGTTTATTATTTTTAATTTATAATTAATTCTCCTACTCGATCATATGCCTCCAAATCAAATCCTTGAACATATTTTGAAATTTGCAGTATTAATTAATTTCACCACGTGGCGGATTCTCATTCGACAATCAACTTCAACCCAAAGGCCAATTCGTTTTCCGGCTGCCACGCGGTTGCCGCCACGATGGAGCCACGTCATTTGGCGCGAAGAGCGTATGCATGACAATTGGGACGTACGGAGATGGACGAAAGCGTAACTTCGAGGAATTTACCGTGAGCGAGTTTTTCTTGTGTCACGCTGACGAGGAGACTCCAACGCTGACTGTAGGTGCCAGGCTGGCACCGACAAGTGCCACGTGAGATTCATCCGTCCATTCTACACGGTTTTCATCCATTCAAGGTGGGTACATGTTCATAAATGCTCAATATTCATTCATCTTGTGAACGCTGTTTTGTTGTGCAATTTAACTGACCACCGTGTAACATTGCAATGTTTTTTTTTTAAGGTCACTATTGAATTTAGTTTCAGCCATATTTTATGAAATTATAGTCATGATGTATATGGAATGTGAAAAACTATGTGTAGATTCTTAAAAAAAACTATAATCTACTCATTTTTGCATGCTTTTGTTCATCTACATATTTTTTGGTACACTTTAAATTTTTTAGTTCTTTATTTATTGAAACGTTATTTTTATAGATTTTTTTTAATTATATATATATTATTTATTTTTCTTTTGTATGATCTTTATTTACATAAATGATTACTATTATGTTTGATATTTTATTTAAAAAATCATCTTTGAGATTTTATTTTTGAAGAATCCAAAGTAAAGAACAAGAATTTATAAGCACTCAAATTATATGGTAATTTTTTTTGTGTTGCTTTAAGAGCTAGGTTACTAAAGCAATGAAAAGATGTGTCACAACACTTCAAGAGCTAGTTTTTATATTTCAAAAGAAGGTAATTATTTAAATAAGTATTTGACATTCATTGTCAATTGATGAAATTGAAGTATGCATAAATATACACAATTTTATTAGATGTCACCAAAATGTAATTCTTATATATAGATATATATACATATATATAGAAACATATATAGTCCCTACTCATTTATATAGAAACATATATAGTCTTTACTCATTTATAGGTGCTAGATTAGAAAATTATGTGAGGAATGTTTTTATTTTTTATTTTTTTTCTTTCTTTCTTTTAGAGAATGTAGTGGAGCAATAGATGAAATATGAATTTAAGAATTGTTGATGCATCTTATTAATCTACAACAATGTAAAAGATTCATTTCAATCATAAGACATAAGTATTTTAAAACCTTCTATTATTGCAATAATAAAAATTTCAGATTATTTATTTATTCTATTATTGCAATAATAAATTAGAAGAAGATTAATCAGATTAATAAATAATCTGTATTAGTGCTTTCTCATTTGCTTTTCTATTTTGGAAATATGTTTCTCCAATCTATTATCTTTTCCGATGTCTCCCACTGAATTTTCATAGCAAAAAATAGTAGATAATCATATTTAATTAGTTCATATAATGATATAATAATAGTATATCAAACAAGTATATAATTTATTTTAATTTATGATAATAATTTTAATAATTTATTGTTTTTGTATATGATTTAGTATCTTCTTGGCATATTATGATTGTGCATGAAGTTACTCAATTATTTGGATTAATGTGATATTATTATAAAAAAAAAGTACAAAGCTCAAGAAATACATAAAGACAAGGAAATTAAGAAGTAAGATGAAATGTATGAAAATATCAGTTTTTTATAGATGAAAAGTAAGTTTTCTATTCTATAATTAATATTTGAAGGCTCTTAGTTATATATAAAATTATTAAGACTTGAGTATTTTAAATTTTAAAATTATATCCCCTACTTCCTAGAATTATAAATGTCTTGTATTTTAAAGTTTTTGGACAATGAGATTTTGGTTCCTCTCTCCAAATCCTTGCATTGTTGCCATTTGGAATACTACTAGGAAGTCATTTTCAAGTTTTCAAGTTGATTGAACTTCTACCTTTCTAGTTGAGAAGATATCAAAATGTTTGTGCTTTAACTTTTTTGGTAGTATTCTTTTTGTCTCTTATAATAATTATTATAATTGGATATTTTTAGTAGAACTACATTTTTTTTTTGTAAATATTATAAATGCATACAACAAACTGTTCTCTTATTTGAAAACCTTACAAGTTTTAACAAAAGTTTAAACAAAATGTTATTTTTAAAGAATGTGTAATCATTTTATGATTAAGTTGTGGAGACTATAATTTCTTTTCATTTATGGTAATTTGATGGAATATATTTATTTTAGTACATTTTTTAAGTCTTGGAATTTTCTACCATAATACTCTATATGCTTTTAATATACTTAAGTATACATAAGTGTTACCAAAACATAATTATTTTTTAAAAAATTAATTATGTAGTTAAAAAATAATGAAATATCTTTAACTCACTGTAATACAAGTTTTTATTCTAATTTTTTTACTGAATTTTCTCTTAAAGGATTTGCATGTAATTTTTAGTTTCCATTTTTGAAACATTTAAAAAATAAAATAAAATAAAAAACTTTAACTTTCCTTAAGGCATATTAGAGCTTCAATGAACAGCATTATTACTCAAATCAACAAGGCATATTATCAAAAAAAAATCCATAAATATTGTAAATAAAATAAAAAAATAAATATTCATAGCATTACATTTTAGGGTTTGTGAAAATCTCATATATATATATATATATATATATATATATATATACTTCATTTTCATTTTTCAAAAGATTAGTTTCATAGAAAAAAGAAAATGATAATAAAATAAAATAAAAACATACCTAAACTCATCCAAGGAAGAGCAATGTTTGATATATACGAGACACAGGTGAAAAATTCACAGGACATACCTCAATCTCATGAACTTTGAATGGCTTTGAGGGCACCCCCCCCCCCTTTCTGACAACACGTGAATCCTGTGGATCTGCCAACTTCATTTGAATCCAAGTCCACACAAACAGGTCTAACAATAATTTAATAGTCAATGGTCTAAGAAATAAGGGCCGAAGCGAGGAAAAGAATGAGTACACATTGAAAGCAAAGTACCACTGCATCTGTCAACAGTATTTGCTGTACTGATCGAGATAGACAGGACTTGACCCATTATCATCTAACCTCTCATTCAAGCCTATAAATTAATAGTATTGTATCAAAATGAAAATAAAAACTGAACTGGCTGTGTCTAAACCCTCGAGAATTGTACAAAAAATCTATCTACCTGAGGCCACATCGACACCCTCGGAAAGATTATGTACATATATCTATGGTTGACGAAGCCATAAGACACCTCATTTCTATTATCTATCCAGTGATTTGTAGTCATATTACTCTCCGATCACTACTAGATACCGCTAAAAAATTCGAGCAAGTCGTTGAATCGTTTGAAAACCACCCACAGCCCACAAGAGAAACAGCGGAAAGCTAGCAAAATCGCATCTCCAAGAGAGTGCAGCGACTTGTTTGCAAATGGAGATATGTACTCCAGAAAACTCTACGCCACTCACACAGCCTTCACATTATCCACCTGGCAAGGAGATATTAATATCAGTTCGCCGAGCTTCTGCAAGAGGAGGATTTGACCACGGCATTGGTTGTTGGAATAGTCCCATCGATTGGTGAAACAATTGTTGGCTGGATTGCCCACTTGATGGATGGCTCGGAGGCGTAACAGCTTGTTGATGAGCTGGAGTTGAAGCTGCAGTTACACAAGTTTCTGATGAGGACGAACAATCCCTGCTGTATTGTCTTGAAACAAGAGATAGCTGCCTGAGCGAAGGATTAACAGCGAAGCCGGAACCTTTTGAGACGAGAATAATTAATAACATGATTGGAAATACCAATCGACAGCACAAGCTCAACAAAGTCTAATAGACAAATCTCTACATATGCGGAGCTACGAAGGTACCTGGAGTGGCTGACACAGGACTCGTCTTCAAAGGACGTGGCGCTGAAGCGGGTGTAAGGGCAGCAGAAAAATCGGCACCCAGAGAGTAGCCCATCGATGGTTGTTGTCCATTACCCACCTTTACCGCAGCCTTTTCAGGCTCGAAGATAAAGCTTCCGACCACCACCTATTTGAACCACACATTAAAATTTCAGCCCTTCTGAAAACGAAATTTAAAGAAAAAAAACTGTAAATTCCGAGACCAAATAATAGGCATTATGCACAGATGCAGTTACAGCCAGGCCCTGCTGTAAAGTCACTGAATGGCACATGCAAAAGACTAAGATCGAAGCCATAAATAGCTGGGTAATTCCACGGGTAACAAATTTAGGAAAATATGACATACTTGAATGGGAGAAGCGGCGGTTAGCACGCCTGCTACACCTCCACCTATTACACGCCCGTCAGAGCAAGCTAATGATACACTCAGTCCACCAGTTCGCTGCCGAGAATTAGCTCCTTGTTCAGTTGGAAGGAAAGAACCCATCAATGAAAGAATTTCATAACGTCCCTGCATACACAATTAAGAGGGGGGTTTTAATAATGCATACATAGCACCATCTAGAGTTCATCACGCGGGAGGAGCTGATAATATACATCGTCGGTAGAAAAAAAGATTATATATAACAAGAAGGAACAACCAATGTGCAAACAAGCAATAGAAAATAATACCAGGAAACTTTACTTGGGAAAATCAGCTTACTGGCAGTATCCCTTACAATCAAAGAAGAAGACTATGAACAGAAAACAAAAAGGCACTGGACATGATAAAGGATTCTCTTGCAAACCAGTCCTTCAGCAAGGTCTACTAATGTTTCGATGCATCACCAGCTCAAAATGAAGACCATGCGCTGGAACACCGTGAACACTTTGAATGACGAATACTACTAGAAACTATTATATACAATAAATGGAATAGTGTACGTTTGTTACATGTAACTTCATCCTCTACAAATGAGGAAACGCAACTTGCACTGGCATTCAAATGAGCTCTTATAATACCTCATATGTAACATTACCGCCTGATGAAGATTGCTGACGCAGTATTGCTGTAGATATTGCACCATTGGCTGACATCACACACACTGCGCGAGGCCCATGTTGGGCAAATGAATATATCTTTGCGGCTATGTCCTGCAGATTCAGCAAGAAAACCATTACCTTCTTAAATCTCGGGTGAAAATCGAAACAGAACTGAATTTGAACACGGCTACATTATGTAATCCATAAAAGAGCTAGGTCCATTTTAAAGACAAAATTCACTACGAAAATGCTTGAATTCAGCAAGCGACTCATGCCTACCTTGCACAAATAAGACGCAGGTTGGAACGATTAAAACAGCAATGACAAATGCACATGCAAATTCCTTGTAGTTCTAACTAGAAATGTAACTCTCATATAAGTCTAACGGACAAGACTCACTGCATGTTAGAGGTGATCGTTTCCCAGATGGATGAATGGAAATGTTCTTACTAGGGACTACAGCAGATGCAATAGACTGCACGAACTACACATTAAGGATCTCACCTCGCCAGCTGCAATTGTAATGATGTGAGGAGTGAAGTTTTGCCCTGCCCATGAGCCTGCCATCATTGACACTTATTAGATCACATAATAAGCGACAAATATGAACATTCACACTAACGCATTCTTAAAGAACCAAATCAACCAAATAGCGCAATCAAAAGACAAAACACTTTTATATGATACAAAGGCTTATGTAGGCCTTCATTGTTCAGTCCCATTTCAGTTAACAATGAAAAATGCCACGGAAATCTGGGTGAAGCTGCTTATCCTCATTCCATCAAGAATTTAGCATTATTGCCATGCAGAATGAGCCTATACGCGAGCTTCCACAAAGCATAGTTACTCGTCTGCATGCTTTCCTATGAATCATAATATCCATATTTTATCGGCTAGTCCAAGTTGAGTTGACCGTGAATTCTCTGTTGGTCTCGGCAGGTTATATTCCAATTTACCAGCTCAAAGAAGCAGATTAACATTTTCTGTTCTGCTGCAATACCCTCGATAAAACACCAGACCTCAAACCATGGACAATGTGAATGAACGGCTAGGACTACGCTATTAATCATTGCTTGAAATGTTTTCAGAGATTCAGGAGGGACCTGCGCTGGGAAACGACACTAATTGATGGAGTTTTCTGCTTGAGCCAAGAGGCCTCCCACGCCCTCGCTTTACACCCGTTGGAGTAAACGGAGACCCAGATGGCCCAGAGTTAGGAGTGTGAAGTGCAAGCTGCATATTAACAGGCGTCCCACCAGCTGCTGAGGCGGCACCACCAGGTTCATTACCAACGTACTTTCGAGGTCTACCTCTTTTCCTCTTAACAGTCTCTCCCCGACTGGAAACTCCTCCCAAGGCCATACCCATGCTCATAACCAGCGCAGAAGGCATCGGCAGCACCGGCGCCGGCGCAGACGCTGGCGCCGGACGCGTACCTTCGGCTGGAGGTTGTGAAGAATTCATCTCTGAACCTGAGACATTCCTTCTGGAAAAAATAGGGGCGTGAAAATTTAGGGCAAGTCTGGCTGTAAGATTCCTCTAGGCACCCACCGTTTCTCTGCCCTGAAAGCACGAACAAAACCTGCATAACATACATTACGTTTCAGGGGCTACTTGTAAACAAAGGATATGACTGAACATGCAGCCTGAGCAACTCGACATTCCGCAAAACCACTAAGAGACGGGTACTAGCTGCCCACATCAGTACGGTGGCGTGATTCACAATGTACTCACGTCAGTCCCTCCTGCATCCATTCTCGCCGATCTACAAAACCTCGCAAGCTGCGAAGCAGCTAGCAACAGTGCCATCAAATCTTGTACACCTAACACACTAAATTTCTAAGATTTCATTTTCACTACTTCCCTTACTGCTAATAAAACTGCATTAGATCGTCTCATACTGGAACCAGATCATCTGAGCTCCGTTCTACTCATTCTACTCACGAAAATTTGAACTCTGGTACTACCTCCAGCATGAAAACCTTATAATCCAGCAAACGTCAGGCACAGCTCACTCGACTACTGCTCCAACTAGCTACTTCCACGTAACTAATTCAGCCAACACACGACCCGTCACAACCCACCACTCCATTCAAACCACCCATGACAAAGCCATCCAAATAACCTTCAGGCATTCTCTCCGCTCTGGCTCTAATTTCCAAGGTTCACATCGAATAAGCTCAAATCCGCAGTGCCACCCAACTCATCAGAATCCCTCAGTCCATATCAGCAACGCAACGCGGCACCCTCACACACCCCCACACACCCCCACACCCTCTCTTGCTCGCGCTCTCTCTCTCTCTCTCTCTCTCTCTCATGCTGCAGGCCACACTACTTTTTCTCATCAAAAACATATGAAACCAACCAACCCAGAAAATGCGACAAACACCATAATCCCAAGTCTTTTCTAAGTTGCAGAAAAATGGGGAGTCCTACCTAGGTCGGACATACCACGAACCAACCCACAAAAAGAAAAATACACAGTGGAGAGGGAAAAAAGAAGCCCGCGACCAGGAGAGGGAGGAGGGGAGGGCGGGAGGAAGGAAGTTGATAAGTGAGGCCAGGATGGTGAGGGAGGGAGGGGGGTTTCTCACGAGAAACGCGGCTTCCTCATGGAAAGGCGAAGGAAAGGGGAGTGGAGGGGTGGGGAGGAGAGGAGAGAAGGGCGTGGTCACCACGCAGAGCCGAACTCACATGATGTACAAGGGATGGATTTCTACTACCAGGAAGAAGAAGAAGTGGAATGGCGACACATTTCCCACGTATTCTCTTCTGGTTTTCTCTCTCACTCTCTCATTGCTGCTGCTGCTGTCTCTCTGCTCTGCTCCACCCTACCCCACCATCCCTCGCGCCGCGCTGCCCCAGCGCGCGCGCTGGCCGCGTCGCGGCGCACTACCTGTGCCCGTGACCGTGCCCGGCCTCGGCTGAGCGCGGTTCCACGAGAGCAATTCCGTTTTTCTTTTTCTTTTATTCTCGTCTCGGTACTTTTCTTTCTGTGTGTTGTTCCTTATTACTTTGTCAACTGCTTTTTCAATGAGGTAGGTAGGTGTATTGCAACATATGCTCTCTAAGTCCCAAATTATTCAATGTCGGAGTTGTGAGGTGTTTGATTGTTAAAGTATTTGAAGTGTGTTTATTGTAAGGAAGGATGAGTTTTGATTGGGGGATAAATAATGAAAAAGGTATATCAAGACCGTGGTCTTCCCAACTTGGTGAAATTATATTTTTACTATGTTATTTGGAGTTATGATTGGAAGTTGTATAGATATAAATGTCGAAAAAGATATAAATTAAATAAAGATCATATGAAGAAAAACAAATTGTGCTTTATGGCACAAGCCATTATGCACAATTTAAAAGTGAATTATATTCTTATAAATTTAATTTTAAAAACTAAATATGAAATTGATTAATAATTTTTTTAAATTTAATTTAATTCCAATAAAATAAATATTTTATATTATTTTTATAATCTTCATCAGATTTTTAAAGTTAATACAAAACATAGTTGGATTAAAAAACAACCTACAAAAAATATATATATATATATATATATATATATATATATATATATATATATATATATATTATTTTTATTTAATGTTATAAAATAAACCATTTCAACTTAAATAAAATAAAACAAATTATTGAATACATAAATTTCAAAAATAATATGATATATTTGTATATTTATAGGATTATTTTCAAATTTTTATGGATGAAAAGTAGATGCAATTTCCATTAATAGTGGATTATGTATGTATAACTCAATTTCAAATTAATCTTTAAGCTATTAGATAATTGTGTTATATACAAAATAGTGTTATTTATAACTAATTTGAGTTTTTGGTTTGTTTATTTGAAATTTTGAATATATTTTAATTACTAAACTTTAAGATTGATATTGCATAAACACGTATATAAGTAAATAAAAATAAGTCTTCATAAAACTGATGTAATATACATTTTTTTTGTTATAATAAGATAGACATACAATAATGATAAAAAAAAAAAAAAAAAAAAAACAAAAACAAAAAACAAACAAAAAAAAAAAAAAAGTGCTTCTCAACATCTATACAAATAGAATATAATTATTTTTTAATAAAAATAATAAAACTATACTTTATAATTTAGATCAAATATAAATATATATTTTAAAAATATTTTGATATATATAATACTTAATTTAAATAATATCATATTATATATTCATATTAAAACAATATGAATATTTATAATATACTGAAAAATTTAGAGAACCACTGGGTAGACAACACTCTTTCACAATGCAGACACCCCCCCACCAAAAAGATAACTAGTTTTGATTTGAAATCATGAATCTTATCATATTTGTAATTTCAATGCCAAAATTTGATATACCCTTGCCCATTTGTATTTTATAGCTCCATATTATCTTAACCTTGAATTCTTTTGACTTTGCAAACCTTTGACAAATTGATTTATTCAATGATAAATTCATAAAGAATTGAGTATTATTACTTTCATAATTTATCAAAGTCAAATTATATATGTTATTTTTATAAATTATATCTATCATTAAAATTCCATTTTAATGTATCATGCAAATTATATATATATATATATATATATATATATATATATGAAGGTCCAATGAATAAAATATATTTAAAAAATATAGATATCATATCATTAAAAATAATTAAAGTTTTGTATGTATTTTTTAATCAGTCCAATGTAATTTAAAATTTAAAAATATTTTGAATATTAATATTTGATATATGCAAAATTCTATTTTTATAAAAGAGATTGTGTTTTTACATTGATGATATTTTATTTTAAATTCTAAAAAACTTAAAATAATAATTATCATATATATATATATATATATATATATATATATATATATATATTATAGGATCTTATTTCTGTGAGTAATATTGAATAGAAATTAGATAAATTTTATATTAATTCAAATGATTTTTATTAAAATATTAAATTTAAACAAAATTTGCTAGTGCATTGGATTTATTATAAATATAACTTTTGATGCTTGAATTATTAATTACAAGTATGTCTAAATGTTTTAGTTTGTTTTGATTCTATAAGCACTTCCAAGGAACTAGAAGTGTTTTGAAAGTCATAAGTATTATGTAAAGTTTTCAATATTGATTTAAAATTTCGATTATTTTCAAGATAACACAATATTTTAATAACTATTATTTTTATTGGACCATGTGCAAGAAAAACTTCAACATATTTTTTTGTGAAATATTATTATATCTTAAGTACAGAACACTACTTTTGAGGCTATTTTGAAGAATTAATGGAAAGTATATCTTAATTTTTTGTAACATTCTTTTATGCTGATTCTTGAAGTTAAGAAGACATACAATATTTCAACAGACTTGGTCTTTGCATTGTTTTGTCATATACTTTAAAATATATATATATATATATATACACATACATCTAAGTTATTCTTTTGAATTTGAAGACATTCGTTACAACAACAACAAAACAAAAAAATAAATAAAAATAAAATAACAGAAATTGTATGAATACAATATATTTCTTTTTAGTACTTTAGAAGCAACAAAAAGTTGTTTCTGTTCGAAGCAAAACAGAAATATCATTTCTTGATAGGTGGCCGTATTTCAACATTGATAGAATATAATCTTAAAGATGCATGCTCAAGCTCTTGTACTGGTAAAAGAAATGTGTCTTGGAACATCCTCTTTCAAAGATTCTGTACAATACCAAATTCTTATATTATAGATAAAAAATAAAAAATAAAAATAAAAAACTTTAAAAAAGTAATAATATCTATAACAAACTTATATAAATTCTTTAATATAAAATATAATTTATTTCAAAAATAAGTTATATTGTAAACATAAATTTTTTATGCTTGAAAGAACTATTCCATTGTGATAAACATACATGAATGTATATATATACATATACATATATACACATTGTTAACCAAAAAATTTATATAGTGATTAAAAAGTCGTTGTAAAAGTAGTAATAATGATTTCTTATTCATATAATAGTAGTTATTTTTTAGATAAAAAATTACAATAAATCATATATAGTACAATGCATACACAAAACAATTGTATATAATATATCTCAAATACAAATAATTTTATAAATAATTTTAAATTCAAATATTTATTATATAAATAATAAAATATAGAAAGTATTATATATTTATAATTATATAAATTAATTAATCAATAAAAAAACATACAATTAATGTATAAATATTTAACTATGGTAAATAATCCAAATATTTTTGCTACAAATCACATGGCTAGTCCATCTTGTATTATGGTTAGAGGTCAAATGATTTGGTTCAAACTACAATATTAAAGAAATAATACCAACCCAAACGGTTTGATTTGAAAATTTTGAATTAATCCAATTTTGGTTGGTTAAGCAAAGCTCAAACTGATTCTAAACTAGTTTAGATTTTATAGTGATATTATGATAGAAGTTAAGAAATTAGTATTAGTAAACATTTCCTAACATCAATTATCATTTCAAATCACTATTTTCACTTCATAATTTGATTGAATTTAATTTAGAATTTCATTGTTTTATATAATTCTAGTTTTAGTAATTTATTCATGATCAAGTTCAATATATGATTTAATTTGAAGAAAACTTAAATAAAATTGATTAAGCCAAATTATGACATTTTCTATCAATATAATTGCAATTTATTTTAGTACTTAATTAACAATTAAAAGCCACAAGTTATGAACTAGAAAATTTATATGTTCATAACTTTGAATTAATATTTTATTTTAAAAATATTCAAATACAAAGTTGCAATTCTAAAAAAAATTAAAATAATACATAAGAATATAAACAGATGCACTTTTTTGATGATGTTAAGATAACTTAATAAATGTTTTTGAAAAAATATGTATGTATTCATAAATTTTATTAATTAAAATTTTTATTTATAAAAAACAAAAAATATTATTTTTTTATATAAAAAGAGGAAAATTAATATTGGCTTAATATATTTCAACTAATTTTTTAAATGTAGAATTAATGAGGGTGAATGTAATTACATATGTATTTTTTAAAATATGATATTTGTCTGTTTATTTCATAAAATTTTAAGCTTAATCTATTTTAATCATTGGTAAAAAAATACAAATTTAATAATCTTGAACTAGATTGAATTACATCATTATTAATAACATAAAATTTTAATTAATTATATATATATATATATATATATATATATTAAAATGATCCACCCATTAACTAAGTTGTTATGTTCTATTGTAGAGAATAAAGAAAAACAAGGAAGATTAAGATGAGAGCTTGGAACAAAGGAGGATGGGATAAGGGCTATGATTGTAATGATGGTTTTAGAAGATGATCCATTTTTCTAATGATCATTACGATAAGGTA